CTCCATCCAGGATGTTGTTGGGGCATTGTGAGGTGTCAGTCAATTCTCGGTTCAGATTCGAACAAAGCCCTTGTGGCAGCAGGTGTTGCTAACTGCCTGCCCTTTTTCTGATCACTAATTCAAAATTAGTGACGGACGAACCTACGGGTATAAGACCTGGCCGCTTAGCCTATGTGTACATGAGTTACTATTCAGATTGAAAATACCAATACTATGTTGTGTGCATTACATGCAGCATTCAGCCAAGACAGTAAGTGTTAACCTCTTGATTGAAACTGGTTCGGGTGTCCTTAGATCACTATAATTTCTTTAATACTTCTTTAGTTTTTGGTTCAATATGTTCTAACCAATCAGCAGTACTTCTAACTCGCCTGCCCCCCCCCCTCCCCAGTGGCACAGCGGTATGTCTGCAGACTTACAACGCTAGAATCCGGGTTTCGATACCCGTGGTGGGCAGAGCACAGATAGCCCATTGTGTAGCTTTGTGCTTAATTACAAACAACCAAACTAACTAACTAACTCGCCTGCAGCTGAAAGAAGGTAAGTGGAAGATCGCGTGCAAATCAAACCAAGATGACGTCACAAATTAGACATTGTAAGCATTCCGTTTCTTCTCTACTTATTATAATGTTGTTTAACCAATACTAATGTTGTGTGAATGAACATTGAAATCGAAGTTAATAACAAAAATGTTCCTTTTTAATCATTCAAATTATATTTATACGCATTTAAGTGTCAGAATACATTAACTTTACAAACAAACAAAAACACGTCTTTGCCGAAACTTCCTTAATTTCCATACAAGACTTTTCGATGTGAATGAAAGTTTCAACTTTTTTATTTCTAATTATTAATCAATTTGGTGTTGTTCCCCTTTGATGTTTTCTTTTTCTTTTCTATATGTAAAAAGTTGTTTGTTTGTAGTTTTTGACGTTATCCCTTGTTTTGTTTTTTTGTGCTGTTGTTCATGACATGTGGCATTATATAAGGAAATAAGGAACATTTACTGATTTTATTATCTGTATATCTTGATACGTTGGTCCGGCTACTGTAATGTAACTGACCTGTGCTGCCTAAACAAGACTTTGGAGAAATGAACCGAATGGTTAGAACTCGGATTATTTTATTTTTTATATTTCTGGCAAAAAATAAATAAAAAATAACAGCACAGAAAGAGAACTAACACCTGTTTTGAACATTAGATGACATATTCTATAAAAAAACAACAACAAAAAACTTCCGCCTAGTAAATGTTAAACAAAGATCAACGAATTTGTAACTAGTACATTACCATTACGTCGCGCTTGTAAAAGAGCTTCCACCACGTTAAAAAAGGTATATTTTATGTCTATCGAAACAACACATTACATGTACGAAACTTCATTATTATTATCTGTTTATCTTGATACACTTGTCCGGCTTCTGAGAACTAGCTGACCAGTGCTGCCTAAACAAGACTTTGGAGAAATGAACCGAATGGTTACTACTCGGATTATCTTATTTTTTTTATTTCTGGCAAAAAAAATTAACAGAACAGAAAAAGAATTAGCAGCTGTTTTGAACACTAGATGAAATATCTTATGAAGAAAAAAAAAAACTTCCGCCAAGTAAATGTTAAACAAAGATGAACGAATTTGTAACTAGTAAATTACCATTACGAAACATTTTTAACATGGCCTGATTTTATTATATGGAGTACAATACCTACGATTGACTTCGAAGTAGTCATATGTTTTTATAATTGTAACGTTTCAGTTACTTATATTAAATTTACTCATGTGTTGAAAAGATGGAAGTATTTCCAACGATACATTGTAAGCTATCTGTGTATATGTGTGTGTTTTTCTTATAGCAAAGCCAAATCAGGCTATCTGCTGTGTCCACCGAGGGAAATCGAACCCTTGATTTTAGCGTTGTAAATCCGAAGACTTTCTGCTGTCCCAGCGGGGTACAGGCTATTTGTGCTCTGTCCACCACGGGGAGTCAATAAGCTTACAGTTTACCCACGGGGGACCTTACTTTATTTACGTAGATATATAATTTAAAATAATTTTAATGTTTTTCACCTTTATTTTACAATTTACATATCGCTCGTGGCGTAAACACTAAACAAATATCAAGAAAGAAAGATTTTATAAAATTTTAACCCACAGATCATGACATATATATATATATATATATTTAATTGTATCCATTATTTAGGCCTATAAACAAAATTTCTCTGTAAAGGTATCTCGACTTATACTTGCTCTGTGGATTTCTGAATATTACTTGTTTATTCCTAAAAATGGATTAGTTCTGTATATTAGGGATACTGGTATTTTTAACCAGAATGGCTGATTCGTAAAAGTGGATTAGTTGTGTGTATATATTAGGGTTACTGATATTATTAACCAGAATGGCTGATTCGTAAAAGTGGATTAGTTTTGTATATTAGGGATACTGGTGTTATTAACCAGAATGGCTGATTCCTAAAAGTGGATTAGTTTTGTATATTAGGGATACTGGTGTTATTAACCAGAATGGCCGATTCGTAAAAGTGGATTAGTTCTGTATATTAGGGATACTGGTGTTATTAACCAGAATGGCTGATTCGTAAAAGTGGATTAATTCTGTATATTTGGGATACTGGTGTTATTAACCAGAATGGCTGATTCCTAAAAGTGGATTAGTTTTGTATATTAGGAATACTGGTATTATTAACCAGAATGACTGTTTGTTTTTCAGAGTTCTCGCACATGTCTAGCTACACAAGGGTCTATTTATGCATAGCCGTCACTAACTTTGAGCTGATAGAGTACCGTGAAGGTAGCTAGTCAGCAGTATCCACCGTCAACTCTTGGGCTGCTCTTCTGTGACTGAATAGTGAGATTTGGCCGTTTACCACAGTTACGAAACGCAAACCATAAGCTTTCGTATTTGCAGCTTGGGCACGATAACACTAGGCTACACCCAGCCTCCTTGAATGGAATGTTGTACGTTACATGGGCTACCCAGACTGGTAATAGAACATGCAGACTGGCACGGTAATCAAAAGGTTATGCCTAACTCATTAATAATGAATATTTTATTGTAGCAAATGTTTATTATAAAAAATGTTAGTTTTTTAATGTTAATGTTTATTATGGAAGTTTGTATCATTAGAAACTTAATTCTGTTACATATTATTAGCATCATATCAGGTTTGTTACTTGCTCTCATTTTGGTTTACATCGGGGGCCAGAGAAGCTCGAATGGTTCCTCCAGAACAGTACAAGTACCCTGGAGCGCTGGACCGTCGTTAAGGGGACATTTTAAGAGCTCACGCCTTCTAGCTTCACCCTAACTCTCTGTATGTGCATACAATCGACTCCACCACAGGCTAGGGTCATGTCGATTAATAGGGAGGACATCATACAGATCCCAGGCCATGAATCATGATACGACGCATACACACACAGCTACCATGTTCGACCACACTAAAACTTTGATAAATAGTAGACTGCTTTTTTAATAATGTATTGTTTTGATAAATAAGGAACTGGTGTTTTTAAACTCAGACATAAATACTTGATATCTTTGATACCCTGAATAGTAATTTAGATTATTATTTATTTATTATTACTGAAATTGTTTTGGCAGATATCATTTGGTGTAATAAAAAGTCACAAACGATCGTTACATAAGAACAATTTGTGCTGCCATCTAACAATCAGAAATTAAACTGTTAGTTATGAAACATGGAAATAATATGCTTATAAAATGAACTCACTGCTAAGTAGTAGTTTTCCTTTTTATTATTTCCCCCACAAAAATATGTGTGGTAAAATAACAGAATAACAATACCGTTATACAAGCTGTAATACACTCGATAATGGCAATTAGGTGTTCAAATAACACTATAACTCAACTTTAGCAGCTATTTATAAGCATCATAGATTAATAGATTGAATGCGGCGGTCATTATTTTCTCGGCATACTAAGCACTACCGTGATAAACCGATAAACCAGAAAACTAAAAAATTATAGTGACTATTTTGCATTGTATCATCAGTTAAATATCCTCACTGTTAACGATATCTTCGGCCATAATCCCAATAATAACTTACAAAGCTCAGCCATCTTAAGAGATTTGGGTTATTTCTAAGTACACGCACTAAGCTAACAAACAAATGATGTTCATAAATTTAATCATAATTTAAAAACAAAATTGAAATTATTTCAATCTTTAAACCTAATAATATTTAATAACATTAAATACAAGGAAAAACAAACGATCTTTTTCTTTTGAAAGAAAAAAAAAGCTTGGTAGCCCGGTGTTATTATTAAAATATTAAGTGACATGAGTGTCGTTTCAGTGCGACAGTTATTACTGCTGTAATGAAACAAATCTTAAAGTTCTAAAATACAAAAATACATACCATTATCTGGACATTTGGAATTGTCAAATCCACAAGCTGGAGTATCTGGTGGAGGATCTTTTCGCCCCCCAGCCCAATGAATTTTCATTCCTGGAACATCTTCAAATTGTCCACTGTCACCGTAATAGTTTGCCACTACCTATTAAAAGAAATAAAACAAAACTTGATGCAGTAAACGAAATTATGTGATGGCAAAACGATATCACTGAGTGTTTGCTGTAAATTTTGTGTAATCAATTTTCTAATGTACAACACACATACATAGAATAAAAATCCTTAAACTACGGGATTTCCCCAGCATTCTTATATACAGTATAAGTTGAATAGCTTTTGTACAGCTTCAGGAGTCGTCATAAGGCTTAAAGACAGCATAAACTTACAGTTGTAAAGAACAATCTTTAGCGTGTTTCTTGAAAAGGTACAATTGTTATAAGCATGATAGAAATTTTAAATACTATAAAATGTGCACTGAGGGCGATATGAGAAAATAACAAAATAAAATACTTAATAATACCGGAATGTTTTGTTACGCGCAAAGCTACACAATGGGTTTTTGTGCTCGGGCCACCACAGGTATCGAAACCCGGATTCTAGCGTTGTAAGTCCGCAGACATACCGCTGTGCCACTGGGGGGGGGGGCATTTTGTGATAAAGTAATATCTTTTGACTTTGTGATTCCATACTTTTTTTTATGTACATATTTTACCCCTTATTTTCATTCCTAAGCGACCCCCTCACTTCAATTGTACAGTTATTCGTTCCTGGTCAATAAAGCGAAATTTGTTTAATTCTATAATAAATGTTAATATATATGTTCATAGAAAAGTCAAAACAAAAACTATGGAGATGAATAAAAGATTTTTTTTAATATCTTATTGTTTGTTTGTTTTGAAATTCGTGCAAAGCTACACGAGGGCTATCTGCGCTAGCCGTCCCTAATTTAGTAGTGTAAGACTAGAGGGAAGGCAGCTAGTCATCACCACCCACCGCCAACTCTTAGGCTACTCTTTTACCAACGAATAGTGGGATTGACCGTCACATTATAACGCCCTCACGGCTGAAAGGGCGAGCATGTTTGGTGTGACGGGGATTCGCACCCGAAATATCTTATTTGGTTTTTTATTGTTGTTAAGTACAAAGCTACACAGTGAGATTCCTTTGTTATGTTCACAACAGGGACTGAACTCCGAATTTTAGCATTATAAGCCCTCGAGCACATCGCTGAATCATTGGAAGTGGGGTGCATCTCTTTGTGATACCTTTTGATCTGGATGGCTTCAAAGTTGTTTTCTCCTTATCCAATCACACACACATTTTTTTTTCAGGTGATTTCTTGCCAGGATACTTAAATTGTTTAAATATTCTCTTGCTACTCCATTGTTTTGCAAATGTATCTCTGTCGTCGCTACTATTTGTATGCTAATGTACGTAATTTTGTCTCTGGGATTTAGAAAACGGAAAACTTTGGACGCACAATAGAACTATATCGTGTCGAAATAAAAAAATCTTATCAATTTACACATCACTGTCTTTGGTTTGAATATAAGTTAAACACTGCCTCACAGTTAAGATAGTACAAGGTTCAAGGGATTATTTAAGAACATATTGAGACAATCGTCTAAGCAAAATTTGATTTCATTGTAAATATTCATTTATAACCAACGAATCTACTTACCGGCTTTAGCATCTAAGTACTTCTATAAAATAAAATAAAAACCCAAAATACAGACAGTGTTAACACAAACTCATCACAGAAGAACGGAAACGTCTTAATCATATGCAAATCACACCAATTAGAAGGATCTCTCGGTCCACGCATATGTCGTATGGAATTCGGAAATATTTTTCGCGATATTAACGTAGTGAATAAAAAAAATCAAAATCGTAAATTAGATTAAGCAAAACTTTATGTTAAATGATCTAATTTTACAATTCTGAGGTAACACGTTAGTGCACGCTCGTAACAAGACTTGGCTACTCACAAACATTGTCTCTAGTCCTAATGTAAAACAAACTGATAATTTAACCAGTTTTTATAAGAGTTAATGTAGTAGTCTGTGAGAAATTTGACTTTTTTTGTGTCTAAAACAAGATAAAGAACAATTGTAGCATATTACAAAATTTGATGGAGATGTGAACGTGATAAGGCAACATTAATCAGTCAACAATTAAATTTGAGGTTAACGCCAAAAGATCTGGTTTTCATTAAATCAACTTTTCTTTTTTGTTTTCCTAATTTCGCACAATGGTACCTTTCTAACAGTTACATTTTGACTTTACTTACTGAGTAAGTATATTTTATTACAGTTTACTGCTTTTACAGTAAGTAAGATTTGTTTTTAGAACAGCTACAATGTTTCTATCACTGGTGCGATCATTCTTCTGTACATAAGAATGATCACACCAGTGATCATAGCGTCGTACCTGTTCTAAAAACCAATTTGAATTACTGTAAAAGCTGTAAATTGCAACAAAATAATGTTGAATCAATCCAATGTCAGCATTGCACAGGTGTATGTATACTAATCTATAAAGTAGGACAGAAATAGTATAGATGGATTACAAATAAATGCTTTTAGAAGGTCAACTTTTCTTATTCAGTTTGTGGTATAACAGTGAAAGGGGGAAAAAAAAAGTCCACCTTCCGAAAGTACAGGTATTATTTTTTGTGATTACAGATTACCTAGGCTATCTTCGTCAGGTGTAACGACCAGATTGGACGTCTACCTAAGTTAGTTGACTTGCCAGATATAGGTCGAATGTCTACGAATGATTAATGTCTTGTACAAGTAACAAAAGTAAGATAGATTTTTGGCTCAGTTCGTTTTGTATACACAAAAAACGTAAACAGTTTGGTTTTTACGTGTGTTTCAACCAATCTGTAACAAGGAATCTCTTTTTAAGACGATGAAAAAGATGTGATAGGTTTCCAAGTTTAGCATTTCTATATTGTACGACTTTTGTACGTACAAAACTAACTTTAGCTGGACCCAGGTTTCTTTTTTTTTGGGGGGGGGGAAGGAGTACATTATGCAAAAACTGGTAAATAAAAATAAAATTACGCCTCTGTTAATTAGTGTTGTGTGGGATGATTATATTAACGTAGTGAAGCATATAGCTACGTTTGGTATAGTTGTAACGTATACGTATTACTCATGTACGAGATAACATACTTTTAATTTCCAAGTAGTTTTCAAAAGATTTAACAACTTGTGCACATTACGATTAATTGATTAATTTACTTCCTGATTGTTTGTTGTTAAGCAGAAAGCTAAACAATGTGCTCTGCCCACTGCTGGTATCGAAACTCGATTTTTAGCTTTACACACCCTCAAACTTACCGTAGAGCTACAGGAGGTGGGAAATGGGCTTTTGAAATCTCCTTTGCTCTGTCCACTGCGGGTATCGAGACTCGATTTTTAGCGTCACATGCCCTCAAACTTACCGTCGAGCCACAGGGGTGGGATGGGGGGATGGTTCTTTTGTTAATTTTTTCACCATGACGTTTAATGTCCCATTTAATGCAACGAAAAACTCGTAATTGGCACAAAAAACGATTTGCATAACATTTAACGCTTTATAGAAACCCGACATTATTACCTGGTGGTATCTAATGGCATTAGGTATTACAATAAAACGATATGACAAAAGGTTTCATTCTTGAAACTAATAGCTATTACACAATTTTGGAGTAGAAGAATTAATTATATACACATTGGGTTATCTGCTGTGTCCACCGCGGGGGGATTTTAGCGTTGTAATTTGATATATTGGATCACATTAAACTAAAGACAGTCATTGTAACAGATTACTTGAGCGCACTAATTAGTCATTAAAATTACTTTTGCTAGATCACTTTGAGTGAGGGGATTTTCGCAAGCATCTTTTATTTTATTGCCCCCCCTCCCTTAGTGGCGCAGCGGTATGCCTTCGGATTTACAACGCTAGTAACCGGTTTTAGCCCATTGTGTAGCTTTATGCTTAACTTCAAACAAGCAAATAAGCAATCTATTTTACTGCCATCTATTGGTGATAAACTAGCATTTCAAAACTTGAGACTAAATATTCTCAAATTTTGCTAACAAACGAACAGTAAAGCGGAATAGTCTGTTCAGCAATCGATAATAACAACGAATAAAAAAATTCGAATAATTCATTCTGCAAAAGGAAGCAGCCTCATAAAAATATAACTTTTCTTCTTCAATTATAAGTTGTACTGTCACCAATATTGTTTGACAAGCTGCTCTCGCCGAGAGCACAAACACGCAATCTGAAAATTTCTAATGAGCAATGAATAATAATAAAAAAAGATGAATGGTTTATATATCTAGATTACATTTGAGACACAAAACGGTGTGGCGTGGCATGGTCTGGTCAGAGCGCTCGATTCACAATCCGCGGGTTCGAATCCACATTACACCGAACGTGCTTGCCATTTCAGCCGTGGGGGCGTTATAATGTGACGATCAATCCCACTTTTCGTTGTAAAAGAGTAGCCCAAGAGTTGGCGGTGGGTGGGAGTTCACTAGCTAGGTTTTTGTCTAGTCTATAACTTCCAAATTAGGGACGACTAGCGCAGATAGCCCTCGTATAGCTTTGTGTAAAAATTCCTAACAAACCTCGTACACTATACTCTGTTTTCCAAGAACAAATTATATAAAGCAATAAGTGAGCTGGCCCGGCATGATCAGGTGTTTAGGGCGCTCGACTCGCAATCTGAGGGTCGCGGGTTCGAATCCCCGTCCCACCAAACATGGGATCGAAACCGTGGGGGCGTTACAATGTGACGGTCAATCCCACTATTCGTTGGTAAAAGAGTAGCCCAAGAGTTGGCGGTGGGTGGTGTTGACCAGCTGTATTCCCTCTAGTCTTTCACTGCTAAATTTGGGACGGCTAGCGCATATAGCCCTCGTGTAGCTTTGCGCGAAATTCAAAACAAACAAACAAATAAGTGAGCTGATGTATTTCTACCTCTGTAATAGGTTTGCTATGGATTATCAATAAGAACAGTGTGTACTAGCATTAAAACAACACTTTTCGTGGCTGTTAAATGGATTCTTAGGCCAGTTCCACACCGCTTTGGATCCAAGTCTTAATCGAAATGAGACAAGGAGCAGCTGTTAAAAAGTTAGGGTGGAC